AGAGAGAGAGAGAGAGAGAGAGAGAGAGAGAGAGAGAGAGAGAGAGAGAGAGAAGCAGCAGCAGCTCAGGAAGGAATAGTCCCAAATCCTAAGGTCCCAAATCTTATATATAAGTAGATGTGCTGGGAGTACTAAAATTCCGTGTTGAAACTTTATTTCACGTGACAAAGCCACGAGAATTCTAAGGATTTGGATGAATAATTTCTTCCTTCTGTCATTCATAAAAATGAAAGAGAGGGACAGAGAATCCCAATGCAGTAGGTGTCCATCTGTCAGGCTATATTAAACCAGGAAGAGACTTTTCATTTCAAATTAGTTTCTTAGGATCCTTGGCGCTTTCTCCTTGTGAAATGTTTACAGAAAATATACATTTAAAGGGAGAATTAAAACAGAAACAGAAATTCACGCAAAACTCAGTAGCCTCTATTTTCTCTTGCTTTTGCACAAGATGGTCCTTTCTGTTAAAAAATAAAAATAAAAGGAAGCCATGCCTAGTAATGCAGGCCTTTGATTTCACCTGCCAGGAAGGATAAAAGTTCAAAGCCTGTAGGGTGACAAAGTGAGTACAAGGCCTCCACAATTTATCGAAAATCTATCTCAAATTGAAAGATAAAGAAGGCAAGATGACTCTGTAGGTCAAAGTGATTACTGTGGAAGCCTTTGATTTGAGTTCAATTCTCAGAGCCCATAGAGAACTGGCTTTTTTGTTTGTTTGTTTGTTTGGTTGGTTGGTTTTTTGGTTTTTTGAGACAGGGTTTCTCTGTGTAGCTTTGGAGCCTATCCTGGCACTCGCTCTGGAGACCAGGCTGGCCTTGAACTCAGAGATCTGCCTGCCTCTGCCTCCCGATTAAAGGTGTGTGCCACCAACACCCAGAGAGAACTGACTCTTGAGGGTCATCTCTTGACCTCCACACATGCTCATGCCTGTGTGTGAGCATGTGTACACGCACACAGTGCTCTCTTGCTCTCTCTCTCTCTCTCATTCATACACACAGTACAAGAGTGCTCTCTTGCTCTCTCTCTCTCTCTCTCTCTCTCTCTCTCTCTCTCTCTCTCTCTCTCTCTCTCATTCATACACACACACCAAAAAGACACAAATAAGGAAATTTTAAAAATCAAATATGCCAGGCAGTAGTGGCATCGCACGCCTTTAGACCTAGTATTTGCAGGCAGAGGCAGGCGGATCTCTATGAGTTCCAGGCCAGCCTGATCTACAGAGTGAGTTCCAGAACAGCTAGCACTACACAAAGAAACCCTGTCTCAAACAAAAACAAAAAAACCAACAAAATTAAGTACATTTGAAAAGCCCTAAAATAAACCAAAGGAGGTGTCCTTTGCAATCCCAGTACTCTGGAGGCAGAGGCAGGTGGATCTCTGTGAGTTCAAGGCCAGCCTGGTCTACAACTCGAGTTCCAGGATAGCCAGAGCTATTACACAGAGAAACCCTGTCTTGAAAAACAAAAAACCAATAAACAAATCCTAGGATATAGTTCAGCGGTATGACCTTGGCCAAGCATGTACAATGACCTGGGTTCAATTCCAAAAGCCACTAAAAAGGGGTGAGTTCTTAGCCCTCAGGATGAAACTGAACCAGGAATCTTATGACTTCACGTCCACTCTGGACTATGTAAACTAGTTCCAGATTTAAAAAATGATTAAGGTACTGGAGAGATGGCTCACCTGTTATGATGCATATCACTTAGGCAGAACCCAGGAGTTCGATCACCAGCACCCAGTTCAGTAGGCTCACCTGCCTACAACCACAGCACCAAAGATATTGGATGCCTCTGGGCTCCACAGGCACCTGAAAGCACATACACACATACCCTCATAGACACACAAGCACATATGTAAAATATATTACGGGGGCTGGAGAGATGGCTCAGTGGATAAAAGCAGAGGACCTGGATTCAATTCCCAGCACCCACATGACAGCTCATAACTGTCTATAGCTCCAAGATCTGATACCCTCACACAGACATACAATAGGCAAAACACCATTGTACATAAAATAAAAATAAATAATTTAAAAATATATTACATATAATTGAATACATAATTATGTCTTTTTTTTTTTTTTTTTTTTGATCACGTAGTCTTGGTCTTTTAAGTACATACAACATTGCCTCAATTTCAGCCAGAGCCCCTGGCTCTTGGGGTGCAGAGGTACTGGTGGGCAGGATGGAAATAAGTCCGGTGAAACACAACTAGGGCCTCACTCCGAGCTCTCCTCATACCTGGTGAATTCTAAATTCTGTTAGGGAACGCAGGGAAGCCTTTCAGGTTTTCAAATCCTGGAGCAAGCGTGACGCCTTAACAACAGGCGTGTTTTCGGGTGCGTTCCACTAATATTGTCTCCTGCCGGCAGCCGTCACGCGGCTGGTGACGAAACCCGACGTGCTCCCGGCCCGCGGGCGCCGGGTAAGCAAGATGGCGGCCCCCAGGAGCTGTGGTCTATGGCGCTACTGCTGCCGCGGGTGGTCGTGTTCCACGGGAGACTGCAGGCTCCCCCGGTTACATCGGTCCTGGGCCCGAGCCACGCCCAGTGCGCGGCTCTTGTCCCAAGAGAAGCGAGCCGCGGAAACGCACTTCGGGTTTGAGACTGTGTCGGAGGAGGAGAAAGGGGGCAAAGGTGACCGGAGAGAGGGCGGATGGAGGGACCTGTGTGGCATCGATTTAGTTACCCTTATCCATCTCAGGGTTGATTTAATGTCCTGTTAGCCCCAGAGCTGTGATGCTTGCACCGAGGGGTACCCACCTCCCAGACTCAGCTCCCCGCTCTCCCACTCTCCTTTTCTGTAAATGGGAATGCGGGCGTTGGAGACGCTACACCCTGCTACGCGCCCTCTTTTTTTGTTTTTTGACTACCCGTGTCTCTCTGTGTCACCTTGATTGACGTGTAGATAAAAGGCTGGCCTCGAACTCGCAGAGGTGCACCTTTCTCTGCCTCTTGAGTGCCGGGTTTAAAGGGGAGCGCCACCAAACCCGGCTTGCCCCCCTGTTTTAATCACAGCATGATCCTCAACTCTCATCAGCTTCCAGGTTGCCAAATGCCAGGCGTCGTGTAGACATCCCCCCCCCCAATTTCTCGCTATAGCTTCCCACTAGTGATTCTTGGTAGTCTCTTAGGAAACGGTGAGTTAAGCAAGAACTTGCACAGTTTAAAATGGTAGTCGGGCTGGGAATGTAGCTCAGTTGATAGAGTGCTTTCCTGTCACTCCCGACGCTCAGTTCGACCCCCAGAGCCACATAAATTGCAAGTGGTGGTGTAAACTTGTGATCCCAGCACTTGGGAGATGGATGCAGGAGGATTAGAAATTGAAGGTGGCGCGCATGCCTTTAATCCCAGCACTCGGGAGGCAGAGGCTGGAGGATCTCTGTGAGTTCGAGACCAGCCTGGTTTACAAGAGCTAGTTCCAGGACAGCCTCCAAAGCCACAGAGAAACCCTGTCTTGAAAATCCAAAAAAAAAAAAAGAAAAGAAAAGAAAACTTAAGATTTCGGGGCGTTGGTGGCGCACACCTTTAGTCCCAGCACTTGGGAGGCAGAGGCAGGTGGATCTCAGTGAGTTCCAGGCCAGCCTGGTCTCCAGAGCTAGTGCCAGGACAGGCTCCAAAGCTACACCGAGAAACCCTATCTCGAAAAAAACAAAACAAACAAAAAAAGAAGTTCAAGGTAATTCTCCACTATACCTTGAATTTGGAGCCAGCCTTAGATAAGGAGAGCTTGTCTCTATAAAGACAGATGTAAAGTTGCTAGTAAGTGGGAGAACTACTATTCTAACAGAGTTTGGTTTTCTAGCTACAGAGTCCACATTCTTAGTTTCTTACTAAAAGCTATTCTCTGTGATTTCATTATTGCCTGGTCTACATAGTAAGTTCTAGGACAGCCAGAGCTACATAGTGAGAGACCTTGTCTCAAAAAAAAAAAAAAATAGTGAACATCAAAACTGTCAGCCATATGTAGTGCCCATGCCTACAATTGCAGCATTCAGGAGGCTTTGGGGTAGGATCACAAATTCAAGGCTTTCTGGACTAAATATCAAGGCCCTTCCTCAAAAAATAGAATAAAATAAAAAATAAAAGACAGGGCTAGAGAGACAGCTTAGCGGTTAAAAGCACTTGAGGACCCAGGTTAGTTCCCAGCATTCACAGGATGACTCACAACTGTCTATAACAGCACAACCTGTGGGTTGCTATGACTCTTTGGGGGTGGAACAGCCCTTTCACAGGTGTGCCTAAGACCATCAGAAAATAAGGTATTTACATTATAGTTATTTTGTTTGTTTGCTTTTTGAGACAAGGTTTTTCTGTGTAGCTTTGGCTGTCTTGAAACACGCTCTGCTGTGTACCTGGAGGCTCTTGTACCACAGCAGTGTCAGTGTCCCAACAGTTACCTCTTCTGCTAGTGACTGCACTGACACGCATTCTCATTCTGCTCCCACCACTATCCTTGGTTGTTACTATTGTTGTTTACTTTTTCTTTTCTTTTCTTTTTTTTTTTTTTTTTTTTTTTTTTTTTTTTTTTTTTTTTGCAGTGCTCGGGATTAAATTCAGGGCTTTAGTCATGCTCACTGATCTATACCCTGGTCTCTCAATTTTGTTGCTCAATTTCCTCTCTCATTTATCTAAGCATGCCACATGGATTTGTCACCAAGAGACAAGGAAACAGTAGAAGTATTATGCTATGGCAATGAATGAGTATACCCTGTTTAACTGATCCATGATGACACACACACACAATCTATAAAGTAGATGACATAACTGGTCACAGATTATGACATATACCTCTTATTTTCATAATGAGTCATGGAATGAAAGCTACCTGACGTATTTCATTGGCATACTCATGGTTACCACCGTGTTTGAATGGTGATGGTGGACTTTAGGAAAGAGGTTGGTTTCTCATGTGCACCTATTTTTTTTTGGTTCTTCTTTTTTTTGTTTTTTTGTTTTTTTGTGTTTTTTTTTGTTTTGTTTTTCGAGGCAGGATTTCTCTGTAGCTTTGGAGGTTGTCCTGGAACTAGCTCTTGTAGACCAGGCTGGTCTCGAACTCACAGAGATCCTCCTGCCTCTGCCTCCCCAGTGCTGGGACTAAAGGCATGTGCCACCAACGCTTGGCTTCATGTGGACCTTTAAGCATTTGATGCAGGGTGGTGTTGGGGTCTGGGGAAGTCACTCATTGATGGGGTTCTTATCTAGCACCTCAAGAGGGGAAACCTTGGCTACCAAGCATTGTAGCTTAGCATCACCTTGCAAAGACAGGCACTTTCAAGAGGGAAAGCCCCCCTCTTGTCTTTTTCATTTAGATCTCCCCCATATTAATCCTGTTGATAACTGTCTGTCCATGCCAGTTTATCAGGTGTTTGAGAGTGTAGCCAAGAAGTATGACGTGATGAATGACATGATGAGTCTCGGCATCCACCGTGCTTGGAAAGATCTGCTGATCAAGAAAATGCACCCACTGCCTGGGACCCAACTGCTCGATGTGGCTGGAGGCACAGGTAATGCCCTACGTGATGTCCTTGGGGAAGGCTGAGCATCCTGTTAGAACTATCTGCTATTGAAGTGGGCTGCCTCACCTGCCATTAGGCTGACGATGGTGACTGAAAGATAAGTGTGCATTCAGTGTCTGAGGAAGGGCAAGCATGCCGTTCCAGGACAGCTTTGTGCTTGGCGCCTTTCTAAGAGAGGATTTTATAAACTAAGATGTGTTCTGTGACATTTCATTGTCTGAATGACTGTTCTATCTCTTTCGATTTTTGTTTTTTTGTATTTGAGACTGTGTAGCTCTGGCTGATCTTAAACTCACTGTGTAACAACCCAAGCTGGCCTTGAAACTTCTTGCCATCTTCGATTCTCCTGCCTCTGCCTCCCAGGTGCTGGGATTACAGGCCCAGGATACCATGCCCACATTGTTTTTTGTTTTGCTTTGCTTTGCTTTTCCTCCTTAATGCTGGGGAGTAAACGCAGGGCTTCACAAATACTGTAGATAAGTGCTATGTCACAGAGCTTGTCCCCAGCCTGTTTTATCTTCTTTTGTCACATTACATAAGCTGTTTAGGCCGCCTTCCTCCCATATCCACTTCCATATCAGCATCAAAGCATATTGTAGGCCTTTGTTTCTTGTTGTTCACTGAGCACTGGGGGAGAAAAATGCTAAGAAAGTGTACATCAGAAAGCTTTAATCTCAGCATTTGGGAGGCTGAGACAGGTGGATCTTAGTAAATTCAAAGCCAGCTTGGATTCTATAGTGAATGTGAGGCCAGCCTAGGCTACAGATCAAGACCCTGTCTCAAAAACCAAACAAACAGGGGCTAGAGAAATGGCTTAGTGGTTAAGAGTACAAACTGCTCCTAGAGCAGTTCCCAACACACATGTCAGGTGGCTCACAATTGCTGTAACTTTAGCTGCAGGGTGTCCAACACCTTCTTCTGTACTCCATAGGCACTGCACTTGTGCACAAACCCCACAAATGTACACATAATTAAAATAAAACCTCAAAAATATAAGCTGGTGGGAAGCCCCCATGGAGGGTCCTACCCTCCCTGGGGAGTGGAGAGGGGATGGCATGAGGGTTGGTGGGGGTTGCAGGGAGGGGAGGGAGAAGGAGAAGGGATTGACATGTGAAGGAAACTTGTTCCTAATTTGAACTAATAAAAAAAAAAAAAGAAAAAAATATAAGGTGGGAGGTAGTGACGTACAACTTTATTCCCGACACTCGGGAGACAGAGGCAGACAGATCTCTGTGAGTTTGAGGCCAGCCTGGTCTACAGAACTAGTTCCAGGACAGCCAGGGCTACACAGAGAAACCCTGTCTCGAAAAAATAAATAAAAAACAAAACAAACAAACAAAAACCCACATAGGAAAAAAACCTAATAATAAAAACCAAATAAATACAGCTGGAGATGTGGCTTAGGTGGTAGAGAGCTTGCATACTCTAGGTTCACTCCCCAGTGCCCCATAAACCATGATTGGCAGTACACACTTACAATCCTACCCCTCAGAAGGTGGAGGCCAAAGGAACAGAAATTGTCATCCTCTGTCACATAGCAAATTTAAGGATAGCCTAGATTACACAACCCCCCCACCTCAAAAATAAATAAATAAATAAATAGAAGCAACAACAGCAGCATTAATTATGTACCCATAATTTTTGGGATTAAGATGAAGCTTGGTGGAGGAGCACTTGCCTGGGCTCATACTTCAAACCCTTGGTTGAGCACACTATCACCCAACAACAATACAAGTCAGCTACAGACGCCAAGTGAGCTGTTGTTCCACTGTATTGTTTAGGGAATGATGACACAGTCTGGGGGTGTGATAGGCCTCACTGCCCAGTGATCCACAGATGAATCTAGACTTGGAACCTGTGATGCTGAAAGGCATTTTGCACTACTTATGTTAAGTCTTTGTTTTTAGAGACAGGGTCTTGCTATTCTGCCCTGGCTGCCTGAAACTTGCTACATAGATCCAGCAGGCAGGCCTTTTAACACAAAGACCCTCGTGCCTCCAAAGTAGTGAGCATGTGCTGTCACGGTGGCCTTTTTTTTTTTGTGAGATGAGTGTCATGTACCACAGGCTGACCCCAGACTCATTATGTAGCTGTGGCTGACCTGATTCTCTTTCCCCCACACACCCAAGTGCTGTGATTGCAGGCATGTACTGCCATGCTTAGTGTATTTGGTATATGCCATGCTAGGCATGGAGCCCCTCCATTTGTGCATGCTAGGCAAGCAGTCTCCCAACTGAGCCACACCTGCAGCCCCTAATGTGATTATTATTATTATTATTATTATTATTATTATTATTATTATTATTTTCCGAGACAGTGTTTCTCTGTGTAGCTTTGTAGCCTATCCTGGCACTTGCTCTGGAGACCAGGCTGGCCTCGAACTCACAGAGATCTGCCTGCCTCTGCCTCCCGAGTGCTGGGATTAAACGCCCGGCCGTGAAAATTATTTTAAATACCAGTTGTGTGGTGTACACATATAATTAGGAAGTGGAGGTGTGAGGACCAGGAGTTCAGAATCATCCTTAGATACTTGGTGAACCCAGGGCCACACTGGGCTGCATGAAACAGTAGCAAAGAAGAAATGAGGGGGTGGGGGGCAGAAGGAAGGATGAAAGAAGGAAGGAAGGGAAAGAGGGAGGGAGAAATGGCAGTGTGCATCTATAATCCCAGCTGAGGAGAGCAGAGCAAGAGGATCAGGAGCTGAAGGCCACCCTAAACAACACAGACACATCGTTTTGGGGGACTGAGAGTGGGGAACCCGTTTCTGTCGAAAGGAGCAGTAGTGCTCTTCCTCAGTCACATCCCTGTGCCTCTGCTCTTTGGGGCTTGGGATACTGGTTGTTGGGTTTCTTCTGAATCTTTCCTTTTGTCGGCTTCCCTCAGGGGACATCGCCTTCCGGTTCCTTACTTATGTGCAGGCACAGCATCAGAGAAAACGGAGGAGACAGTTACGGGCCCAGCAGAATTTGTCCTGGGAAGAAATTGCCAAAAAGTACCAGAATGAAGAGGATCCCTTGGGTGGTTCACTTGTCATGGTCTGTGACATCAACAGGGAGATGCTAAAGGTTGGGAAGCAGAAAGCCTTGGACCAAGGACACACAGCTGGTGAGTCCCTCCGCAGACACAGGCATCCTTTGCATGTTTACAAAGGAAGGCATTGAACATCAAGTCCTGGATTGTCTTCTGTTCCAGCCCCTGGAAGTGTGAACAATCAGCAGGCCCCAAAGGAGGTTTCTAGGGCTGAGCACAGCTTATAGGTGCAGTCCGGAATCGGGCATCATGTTAAGCTTGATGAACAATGCTGTACAGCCCAGGGAGCTTAAGGATCTTCTTTTTTGTTGCAGTTTCTTAAAATTTTGTATAGTGTTTAAATTGTATATATGTCTCTGTAGTATGTGGGTGTCTGGTGCCTACAGAGGCCAGAAGAGTGCATCAGATCTCCTAGAACTGGAGTTACATATGTTTGTAAGCTAGCTGGGTGTTAGGAATCAAACTAAGGCCCTCTAGAAGAAAAGCCAGTGCTCTTAACTGCTGAGCCATCTCTCCAGCCATTGTTACTTTTTAAATTATGTTTTATTATTATTATTATTTAATGGGGACTAGGGGGAATTATGCTGGTGCCATAGCACTCCTGTGGAAGTCAGAAGACAACTTGTGGGAGCTGGGAATTGAACTCATGTCATCAGGGTTGGCAGCAAGCATCTTTACCCACTGAGCCATTTCATTGACCCTAAACATCTTCAAGTTATTGGTTTTGTTGTTGTTTTATTTGAGACAGGGTCTTAACTGTATAGCCTTGGCTAGCCTATAACTCATTCTGTAGACCAGGTTGGCCTTGAACTCACAGCAAGAGCTTCTTTTTTTTTTTCAGATTTTTTTTATTTGAATTACAAACAAGATTGTTTTACATGACAATCCCAGTTCTCTTTTCTCTCCCATCCTCCCCTACGCCCCCCCCCCCCACAA